CGGCTTTTCTATTTTATTATACTAGAGCCTCTTATCTAATATACCTATAATAGTAATACTTGATTCTGGGCTATCTATAGTAGCTTTAGAAAAGGTATTAACTATAGAGGTAAATACTAAATAAGTTCTTCTTATTTAATATTAGTAAACTATAACCTATTATTATCTTATCTAGTTTTAAGTTAGTAGATTAAAACCAACTATTATTTTTTCTTGTTTTAAATTAGTAAACTACTATTAATTCTTTCTATATTAGAAGAGAGAGCCGGTTCTTTTACTTTTATTAGTATTAAAAGAATATTATCTATTCTAGTTAAGAGTTAGGCTCCGAGATTAACCGGGTTATAAAGAATAATATGTTTCTTCTTTTATATTAGTAGAGAACTAATTACTAAAAGGGGAATAATATTTGCTTTAGTTAAGGGTTAGGCTCTAAGATTAACTAGATTATAAAAAATATTATACTTTTAGTTAAGCTCTCTAGTTCTTTATAGTTCGAGAAGATTATTAAATATTAAAAGTAGTATTTTGTTTTTACTTTTTAAGAATAAATATAGGTCCTTTACTAGTAGTATTATATTGCCTCTATAGGCCGAGTCAAGTAAGCTTAGTATTATTCTATTTAAGTAATTCCGGCTTAGCTTTATTTTATATCTATTTCTAATATCCTGTTCTTAGTAAATTATATTCTTATACTAGCTATTTTACTTTATACTTAAATTAAATTAAATTAAAATCAAGCTAATTAAAAAATAATTAAAAATAATTAAAAATAATTAAAGATAATTAAAGATAATTAAAGATAATTAATTAGATTTATTATATTACTATATATATAACTCTAAAGCTTCGGAAGCCGAGATAAGACTAAAATAAGATCTAGGCTAGCTATATTCGGTATTACTAAAGATACTCTTTACTAAACTAGGCCTAGTACTAATTAGTAAGTAAAGCTAAAGATACTAGAACCTTTTTAATTTCTAGTAATTTTTTACTACTAATAAAAGAACTATAAATAAATTCTTATAGTAATTAAGGAAAAAGAAATAAGAAAAGAAGAAAATAAGAAAGAAAAAAAAAAAGAGGTTTCTAAAAAAGAAAACTATTAAGATAAGATAATATTATAATAGTAGTAAATAGCTTAAATTAAGCTAAAGACTATTTATTAGATTAAGGAAATACTAGCTATATACTAAATTATATATAATAGTATTATATAACTAGTACTATATAATAAAAACTAGTTTATTATTTTAGATTTAGATTAATTTTATACTTTTATATATACTTTATAGATTTTATTTATTTTTTATTAATATAACTATTAGTTATTTAATAATCTTTAAAATTGCCTAAGAAAGTATGCTTTTATATTATTATATAATAATTATAATTAATTATAATAAAAATCAAGCTAATTAAATTATACTTAATTCTAATTAATTCTAATTAATTAGCCTTAATTATTTTTTGATATACTGGTTCTAGGGGGCAGAGCAAGGTCGGTCGAGAGATAGGGGGTTGGGAATTGGGGTGCGATGAAAGGCTAGTGGGGGAGGTGGAGGGGCGCAGTGGAGGGGCTTGGATGGAGAGGACGGAACAAATTGCACTCTTTATTTGAAAACTTAAAACGATGGCTCTCTGAGGTTTAACTCTTGCTCGAAAGTCGGGGCCCTTTGCCGTGGTATTTTCTCGCTTGAGAGTTTATTCGTTGATTGTAGCTGCACACGAGGTGGTCCTGTACTGTACATGCCTGTTTCTTGGGTGATAAACGGGTTGCAGATAGATACGCGTCCTAAGGACTGAGGCTGATAGAAGCGTAGCAAGTAGGGAAATATGGAAGTGATCTTGAGAGTCTGGGCCAGAATGGAGCGCGATACTCAACCCTGTCATATCCATAGAGAAGCTGTCCTGAGTGAGTTGTGATGCATCCCTGGCAGCATCGACAATATGAGTGCTGACTCTTCAGACTTGCAGAAGCTGTCATGTAGTGGATTGACAGGCTCTATCAAAGAAGTACATCTTGCTCCAAGACCAGGCTTTAGCACTGAGTGTGAGATAACAAGACGATGCCTTGAGTGCACTGCCGCTTGGCTCGCACTTGGTACCGACCTTTCCCTCCTTCACAGTATGGCCTGAGCGAAGTCGTACAGGCTATCGACACTCGCTACCTGATGACACCAGCGGCGCCTCATCACGAAATGCGGGGTACGCCTGGCGTCTTCCTCCCTCAGCCCTCCTTCGGCACCCTCCTCCCGAACCGTCAAGCAGGAGCCACGAAGAGGCTGCTTCCGCGGAAAAGGGCTGCAGCCTTATCTATTCTCCGGCGCGAAACACATTTGGGAGTGTAATGCGCCGCAGGATAGAAAACAGTTATTGGCGAGGGGAGCAGGGTTGGATGGGAGCGAAGAGGGGAGGCGAGGCTCGCGAACCGCTACCCCGGATTTCTCTGACATGTCGATTGCTCTAGTGTGCATGGTGGCTTTGGGAGATGGAGTGCAGGGGGTGTGGCGCTGGATCTGGTCCTCCCGATTCTCGGCGTGGACAATCTGCTCATGGCGCGGTGCGAGCGTCGACGACGAGAGAGAGGAAGTTGGAAAGAGGCGTTCTGTTGACGTGTCTTGAAGGATGAGGGGGGTTTTTGAGGGGTCCAAAGAGGCGTGCCACTGCCCGTCGGCCAAGACTCAGTCAATGCAGGCAATCTGCACGCTGAGACATCGCAGCTATGGTGAGAAATTGCCTCATAAAAACATCGGAATTCCCTCAAGGAGAAAGATGGCATTTTTTGTGTGCGGCTCCGGAGATGCTGAGTTTGCAGGGGGCAAAACATGGGCTTTGGGTTACGTAACTGGGGTGTTTTTCAGTGGCTGCCCCCTGGCTTCCCGAGCTTCGCTTTTGTGTGGCTTTCATCTCCATGATCCATCCCATTTTTCAACGTACGGATCGTAGACGACAAACAGTGATGAAGCCACGCCATTATTCTACACCGTTACGCTAGATCCGGGTATTCAACTGCTCTATTCCAACATCTCACGCTTATCACGGAGTCCTCGGCGTCCACAAAGGGAGGCGCAGCTGCGTGTCCAAGCCGACCGAACCTTGCCATCTGAAATGCGGTCAGCCGGGCTGGCATCTTGGCTATGAGCCGCAAAGATAGGCAGATTACCCTATCTATGCGTTTGGAGAAAGTCAAATCGAGCGAATGTGACGTTTGCACAGCTGTTCCCGCGGTTCAGGTTCAGACTCCAGCCTCAAATCAGTTGGCAGCGCTGCACCACGAGCTGCATCCAATGGCCACAACGCGCTTCCCCTCTTCATGGAAATTCCCAGCGGTATTTTAGAGTCCACGATGTTCTAGAAGAAGGCATGGGAGGGTCGCATACGCACTCTACAGCCGGGAACGGCAGTTTTCACAGGTCCACGACCCTCCACTCTTGGGTGCTGGACTCCTGGATTCCTGGAGACGAGAGGCACTTACTGGTCCACGAGCACACTCCCTCGTACGACCAGAGCGCGAACAAAACTATTATTCACAGACGGAAAGAAAAAGAAGGTAATTACCAACTAGCGCGGTGGAGTATTGACCTTCCTCCCAGCGGACAAACACAGACAGGCCACTTTCACTGTGCCCAATGCAATTTCCAAGGCTAATTAGGTGATTCTTTCAGCAGAGCAAGCAGAGCGAGCACAGCAGGCAGAGCAACTTGGCCGTCAAGGTGGCCGTCGAGAAGCCCTGGACTGCAGAGATACGGATTACGGACTGCACTTCAACATTGGGCCTGATGCTGGTTTGGCGGGGCAGGGAGGGAGGGAGGGGCAGGCTGCAGCGCCAGGCACAGGTGTCGGGTGCTGCAGGGCAGGGCAGGGCTTGGGCTCCGGCACGTGGACCGAGTCAGCGTAAAAGACGACAACCATGGACCACCCAAAGGACCACCCAAAGCACCACCCGGACGGACAGCAGAGCACCCAGCATTCGTCTTAGAGCCATTTTCTCGCATCAGCCTTCGTCTCTGCCTTCTCTTCTCTTTCCTTCCTTCCTTTATGTTTTCTTGAAGTTCTGTCCACTTGCTCTCTTTCTCCCGGCACTACCATCCACTGCACCACGCCCAACGGGCGCTGTTACATAACAGCAGCCTTCCCTCACGTCATTCCACACCGCACCGCACCTTTGTTATCGCTCAAAATTTGCAGAGCGGCGCACAGAACAGCATTTTCGTGATTGCTCCGACTCAACAAGCGCTTCAACGTCCAAAATCACTCTCGAACTTTCCTCTGCGCGAATTAGTCGGATCACAAATACAGGAAAAGATCTAGACCTCCAGATCTACCCCTCCTCACCGCCTTCAAGCGCGCATCCATCGCGTCAACTTATCCTACGCCTTCCGATTGGCCAGCGCCGTCATCTTATAGTTGGATGAGATCAGATATCGCAGACTCTTTGATTCTGCAACCCGGGCAGAGCTTCCCATCCGGCAAATCCCCAAGCTCCTGGGGAAGGGACCGGGCGAGAGAGAGAGGCTATTTCTCCTTACCAACGTGGTGATCGGCAGCACCAGCCGCGAGCTAGGGAGGGTGGAGAGGAGCTATCTCCGGCATTTTCAAGGACCGTGGCGGACAGCCAATCCAGGACCGCTCCGCTTCAAGACATCTCAAAGTTGATCCCTCAAAGCTTAATTTGCTCGAAGAGAAGATATCAGTAAAGCTTTGGAGCTGCGAGGATTTGGGAATCGTCGCTGGTTGTTCCCAAGAGTCAAACTTCGGCTTCGAGAAAGAAGTCGAGAAGGCAACGAGTAGAACTATCAGTGAGACAAGGAATGCCCTCCGCAACCCCTCGGTCTGCCCTCCCAATCAGACCTCACCCATCCACAACCCACGAACCTCCACCGCGAAAACTGAAGCATAGACCGTGTACCTCTTACACCGACCTCGAAGCCCACAGCCTTAACCTCCCCGTCCAGCAGCCCCAAAATTCCTGCAACGACCGCCCAGCGAAGCGCTCCATGCCCACCCCCACAAAGACCATCGCCGTCGTCAACTCCTCCGGCCGGCAAGCGGCGTCCTTCATCCGGGTTGCGGTAGCCGTTGGCTACCACGTCCGGGCACAGCTCCGGAATCTAGATGGGATAGTGGCTTCTGAGATCTCGAGTTTGCCGAACGTTACCGTGCTTGTGGGAGATTTGTACACGAAGCCTAAGTTACCAGGAGCAGAGGGGGTAAATCATGGGTTGATTGAGGAGCTGTATAAGGGGGCGCAGTTGGCGTTTATCAATACGACGTTTTGGGGGGATGAGGTGGCTATTGGGTGTGCGTTAGCAGATGCAGGTACGGCCATTTTTTCCTTCTCTTCCCCTCTCCCAATCTCCCCAATTCTTCCAATTCCACTCTTGAACCCCAAGCTATTTCCCCAGGTTAAAAATCACTACTCGAGCAAAACAAAACGTGATGCTGAATACTGACCCTCCCTCTTCTCCCCAGCCGTAAAAGCAAACATAGAACACTACATCTACAGCAGCATGCCCAACCACTCGCTCCACAACCCCACCTGGCCCTCCCTACCCCTCTGGTCCTCAAAACACACCATCGAATCCTACATCCGCGCCCTCGCCACCCTCCTCCCGAAAACCACATTCCTCTACACCGGCATCTACAACAACAACTTCACCTCGCTCCCCTACCCACTCTTCTGCACCGAGCTGCAACCCGATGGCAGCTTTACCTGGACCGCGCCCTTCCACCCCGATGTCAAACTACCATGGCTCGACGCCGAGCACGACGTCGGGCCCGCCGTGCTGCAGATCTTCAAAGATGGCGTGTCGACCTGGGGCAACGGCGCCCGCATCCCGCTCGCCTACGAGATGCTGTCCCCGCGGGAAGCCTGCCGCGTGTTCGCCCAGGGCGTCAGGCGCCCGGTACGCTACCGCCGAGCAGCCAAGATCGAAGTCAAGGTCAAGATCCCGAACGGGTACCGGGAGCAGCTTGTCGCGCTGGAGGAGATGTACGCGCTGGGGGCGCGGGATGGTGGGTTGCAGCCGCCGTACTTCGGGGATGAGGGGTTGGAGGGGCGGGTCCCGGATGTGGCGATGGGGCTTTGGGAGGGCTGTCGGGGGTTGGAGGAGTATGCTAGGGAGGTGTTCCCGCTGGAGGAGGCGGCGAATGGACTTACGTGGATGAATGAGGCGGAAGAGGGGAATGCAGATGAAGAGGGGGAGATTCAAGGAGGGGAGGAGGAGAAGGATGAGGATGATGAGGAGGACGAGGAAGAGGGGTTGACGATGGGTGGTGGCGTTGGCTCGGGGACAGCAATGGGAGATGTGACGCCTGCGAGGAAGGAGGAGAGCTGGCTCGCTTGAATGCGCCGTCAATCATGCACTGATCGCCGAAGGGGCCTGCACTTGCTGCTCGGAGCTGCGCTGTCCCAGCCGTGAGGGGCTGGAGGAAGGAAGAGGTTAGGAAAGAGGCGGTAGTGAGAGAGGGCGCGAGAAAGGAGGACAAATGGGACGAACGGCACGGGCGTAAAAAACGAGATCAAACACAGACGACGAAACGGCAAACAGCACACACATTCACATACACATACACATGCATACATACACACATACATACATACATATGTAAGAAACAGAGCGAAGCATGGAAGAAGGCATAAAACGACTAAAAGAAAGATAATGTCTAGCATCTACGAAGCCAAACGACGAGAAATGGAGCAAACAGAGGTTTCATTCATTCATCACAGGCGCGTCACATCATCTATCTATCTATCTGCATAGCATATTCCTCGGCGACTTCTGGACATGGAAAAAATTATTCAATGGTGTTAGTTGTTTGGAGCGAACGGCTTCTGGGCGGACATCTGCTTCTGCTTCTGCTTTGGGCTTGGATTTTGGTTGGTTTTGAGCTTTGCATAGCGTGGAAAGGGGGGGAAGGGATGGCGGCATATCTGCATTCAGTTGGCGGCGGGCGGTCTTCTGCGAATCTTTTCCGGGTTTTGTTTTGGATACTTGTTAGTATTGTTGACGTCAGTCAACTCCCTATACTACCAAAAAAAATAGCATCGAAATTAGCACGATTTCGAACATACTCGCTCCCCTTTCTTTCCCTTTTGCATTTTCTTGCTCTTTCCTAGTAGGCAAGGTTGGTAAAAAAAAGTGTATTGTTTGTGCGATATAATGATTGAGCTTTTGGTAGGGACTAATAGGGATGAGGCTTGTAACTTGCTGTTTTCCTTCCTTTTTACCTGGAGGAGGGGTCTAGGCTCGCGTTCGGGAAACTCGAAGGAGAGGACAAGCTAAGTATTATGAATGGAATGCAATATCGACGGCTCGCCTTCCCGGAACGAATGGGACACGTCAGATGCGATATCGTGAAACGGAGGTGGACTGTGGACGGGAAGTGTGGATGAGGAGCGTGGACGCGAGTAAATGTTCGGATTTGGAACGCACAGCCAACTGAATAGGGGAGAGACACTTCAAGACATGCAGCGCGTTGCTGTGCGATGCGATTTGGGCTGGTACCATGTTGCAAGGCGGAGGACCAGTTGTTTGCAGCTCCGGTAGCATTCGCTCAAGAACACGGAAGCATGGAGTGAGAATTACGGGTCAAGACAAGAGTAAATAGCTTGTCAAACGGCTTCCATTCCAGCCCTCAAACTGTCAATCAGAAATCGCTCGCACTCGAAATCCTCGGTCTCTGGGGCGAAGCCCAACCTAATACGTACAGGACAAATCCACCCCCTCCACTCGAAAATGTGAATCATAAAAGTATGCCACGATGCATGTTTGTATCCCAGAATTTCCCCAGACCCGCAGGTCTGCGGGCCTCCATAAACGCCATCCATCCCGGCCATAAACGCAAGCAAAATAGACATTAAGCCCTCCTATCGTATGCTTTCCCCAGCTGTATCCGTTCAGCGCCTCTACCCCGACCTCTGCTTCTTCGCCGGCCGCTCATCCTCGTCTTCCGAGTCCTCGGCCGGCTCATCCAGACCCTCGTCATCGTCAGACTCGAAATCCGCGTCTGAGAGGGCGTCTTGCTCCTGTGCTTGTGCTGGTTGCCTGTTAGTCGCCATCACTCCGAACGCTCCGAGGAGGCACAAAATCGAGGAAAGCTTACTGAAATACTTAATAGCCCCCGGCCACAGATCCTCCGTAAACGCAACCGCGAGATCGTCCCCATCAGGAAAGATCTCTAAGCTCATACCCACATCATCCTCGCCCACACTCTCCTCATCCTCATCACTACTCGGCGTCCTCGAGCTGCTCCTTGATCTCGATTTCCGCTTCTTATTCTTCCTCGCTTCCCGCGCAGCTCGCTTTTGTTTCTCAAGAGCGGTCGCCGCAGCAGATTCCTCAGCAGAGACATGTCTTCCAATGAAGCCGAACCAGGCGAAGAAGGAGAGGCCGCCCATGCCTGTGTTTTCTATCTTCTTCTTTAGTGCTTTCTGCTCCGGCGTCAATCCTCTCGATGAATTCCCCGCACCGTTGCTGTTCGATTGCGATGTTGTTGACGTGGATTTGTCCGCTTCCCACGCTTTGACAACCATGTCCAGCAGGCCTCCCGTTAAGTCACGGTCTGTCTTCCACTTAATACCCACCGGCTCCGACACCAGTCCGGACCAGCCATCTCTACTCCTCCGATGCCAGAATTTCTTCTCCAGCACCTTGTCGTCGAAATACTCGTTCTCCGCGAACTCGAAGCGTATTGACACAGATCTGGGATCGAGGTCGACTTCGAAGTGCGAGACGGAGAGGTTGAGAAGCGAGGATAAAAGGAGGGCGGAGTCGGAGGGCTGGATGTACTGGTCGATGTCTGGGGGTGCTTGCTCGAGGACCAGGGGCCAGAAGTTGGGGATTTGGGAGATGGTTTTGCTGCGGCGGGAGTAGAGGGGGGCGGTGAGGAGGACCTGTTTTCTTACTGCGCACGGGATCAATTAGCTACCTTTTCATCTTTCCTTTTGACGTAGAAATCGGTGGATCTGGGCTGGATTCGAGATTGAGGTGAGGAGCTGGTGATCTGCAGGGTCGAATCTGACAACTCACTGATGTCCGTCTCGGCATCATCGAAATCCCTCTCGATGTCCGCCAGGTCCTCATAGCTGACGGGAGTCTCTTCCAACGCGGCGGCCATGGCTGCAGTGGTGAAGGCGAACTTTTGGGGCATGAATACCTCTGCCTCTTTCTCTCTCCAGAAAGAAAGAGGGAAGCGGAATGGGGAGATGCGATGCGAAAAGATCGATGGGTTGGAATTGGGTTGCTGGCGCGGCCGGCTGAATCGCAGCGAACGGAAGGGCACAGCTTTATCTGATCGTGGGATGGGGTCGGGCGGGCGGTTTGGCGCGATGCTACTGGGATGTCACTGCACGCGGGCCAGTGGCTGCAGATGGGGGCGTGCGTGGGAATGCGCAGTGGAGTGTGGGAAGATGGACGTGTTTGAGAGATGCGAGCGCGATGACCGAAGTGCGTGTGGATTCGAGGAGCACGATGGAGGATGGGGGATTGTGAATTTGTGAGACGCGATGGGATCATGGGGGTTGAAGAGGGAGAGATGGGCGAGATGGGCGAGATGGGGAAAGTGTACGGAGTACTCGTAGCTTGTCAGTGTGTCACTGTGTACGCGTGAGTGGCGCCTGGCTGGGCAGTGGGCTGGGCAGGCTGGGCAGGCTGTGGCTGGCTCTCGGGGCGGGTGAATGTGAGCGAGGAGGGCGAGGAGAGGAAAGGAGAGGGAAGAAGCCGAGTCCTAATAGCAGATCGGATCAGATAATTAATAACAATTAATGAATGCAGCAGAAGAGCAGCAGAAGAAAGGAGGGCGAGGAGAGGAGCGGAGAGGAGAGCGAAGAAGCCGAGTCCCGATCAGCAGATCGGATCAGATAATCAATAAAAGAATAATTAATTAATGCGGCTTCAGCAAATCAGCAAACCAGCAAATAAGTAAATTAGGGTCAAGGGTCAACGGCGAACATCCAGCTTCCAGTCCGCAGGCTGAAGGTGCTGGCTGGCTGGCTGGCTGGCTGCTCTTCAAACAAACTTCCTCCATCTACCACCACTACCTCCGAACAGGCTGATGGGATGGATGATGCTGTTTCCGCCCCATTGGCTGCAGCCCGAAAACTCAGTTCTAGCAGAGCTGCAGAGTTGTATGATCCCCCACCTCACCCGCACAAACTGAGAGATCTGCCCAAGAACTGCTGCTGCTGCTGCTGCCCTCCCTTTCGCACCTCGATGTCGAGTCTCGACACAAACCATGACATTCCACCCTCGACGCCCCTGATGCAGCCTCTCGCCCTTGGCGTTGACGCACGCACTTCTTATCTGATTGGTCGCCTATTTTATCTGATCGTCTGAACTGCTCCTTCCGCCCCCTGAAAATTGCAAAATCTCCTTCGCTTCCGCTCCCTTCCCATAGCATATCTCAGGCACGATCGCCTTTCTGCCTGGACATCAAACGCCGTTTCATCGCCCAGGGAAACTCTGCCCTGGAATCTGCTGTCACCCGAACATCTGCATCCGTCTGGATCTTCGGTTCTCAACGGTATTGACGTTTGCATTTGCAGGCAGGGCTCGGCACGGAACGGAGTCAACGGAACTGTCACGATATCAGACATCCCGAGCCGTGCAAGCACCATGGCGACGCAGTACCCCGAGTCCCGCGTCCTCGTCATCATGACCGGCGGCACCATTTGCATGAAGAGTTCTCCCGAGGGACTTGTGCCTGCGAGGGGCTTCCTGGAGCAGGGGATGGCGCCGCGGCCGAGTTTTAATGACGGGAGCCAGCCTGGTATGTGATTCAATAATCAATAATCAATATTCACTTGTGCTTGCGCTTCGAATCTGCGTGCGAGTCAACTGCAATTGGTGTTTTGGTGTTGTTGGCGCACGGCATGGCGAGGGGAGATGCAAGTGAAAGGGGGGAGAGATCAGATAAGATTGGAAGAGGCGTGTCGTCGTGAGCTCAGGGGAAGTGGATCCCTGCCATGGAGGCCAATACGAGTTCGGGGGGGCGAGTTCAGTGGCTCGCGTGCTCCAGAAGAAAGACTGTGGCTGCAAGTCAGCCGCTCTCCGCCGCCTCCGGGCCCAAGAGAGACGACAGGCTGCACTCAATCAATTTCTTTTGAACGTCACAATGGCTTCTGCAATATCTGCTCGACCAGAGAGGGTTCTCGGTGTTACAATCAACACCAACCCCATGGCATGAGTAGCAAAAGCTGCGTACAGCAACTCTTCCGCTCTGGTCGGCATGTCTTCCTGCAAGATCAGTGGAGCTTCTTGCCGAACAGCTCCCAATCATAACTACTATCTTCTTCAAAACACTGACACCGATGCTGCTGGAAAGTCTCCAGTGACCAAAATCTGCAAACTTACGATTCCTCTCTAATACACAATTTCTCTCTTTCTGTTTCTAATTCTACCTCGTTTCCATTCTCTTGGCTTCATTATTCAACCTCGTTTTTTTCTTCTGTACATAAATACTTACTCTCTCCAGACCCCCTCCCAGTCTTCACTTCCCCCCATACCAAAACCTTCCTCCCCTCCCTCCGCACACCACCCTCCGCCTACTCCAGACACATTCGCTACACGCTCTTTGAATTCCCCACCCTGCTCGACAGCTCCTCCATCTCCTCTGCGGGCTGGTCCCAAATCGCCACAACCCTCCAATCCAACTACCCCCTCTTTGACGGCTTCGTCATTCTGCACGGCACCGACAGCCTAGCCTACACTTCCTCTGCCCTCTCCTTCACTCTGCACGATCTCGGGAAGCCCGTCATCTTGACAGGCTCCCAAGCTTCCATCTTCGCCTTACAATCCGATGCCGTGGATAATTTACTAGGGTCGCTGATCATAGCAGGCACGTTCATGATCCCCGAAGTATGCCTCTTCTTCCACCACTCCCTCTATCGCGGGAACCGCACCACCAAGATCTCCGCTTCATCCTTTTCAGCATTTGCCTCCCCGAACTGTGAACCACTTGCCACGATCTCCGCGAGTGGGACGGAGGTGAACTGGAGTTTAATCCGCCGCTCTACATCAATCGCGAAGTTCAGCATTCAAACCAACCTCGACACCGCACACGTAGCCTGCTTGCGAATCTTCCCCGGTATAAAGCCCGAGATGCTAGATTCAGTCCTCCGCGTTCCGAACTTAAGGGGGTTGATACTGGAGACGTTCGGTGCAGGCAATGCCCCCTCCGGCGAAGATGGGAGTATGACAGCCGTCATCGAAGCAGCGATCGCTCGCGGTATAATCATCGTCAACGTCAGCCAATGCCAAACTGGCTTCGTGTCTCCGCTCTACGCCCCAGCCGGCGCCTTAGTCAAAGCGGGCGTTATTTTCGGCCACGATCTCACCACCGAAGCCGCATTGACAAAACTGAGTTATCTACTCGCGCTGCCCGGGTTATCTTATGGCGATACTGTGAGCCAGATGCAGAAGTCTCTCAGAGGCGAGATGACCGAAGCCCACAACACCGTCTTCAAACACCCGAATTCCGAGGTCCCGAGTATCACAGATCAGCAGACCGCCTTTACGGCTCTGGGATACGCCATCTCGAATGGTGATCTGGAGACCGCCAAATCGCTACTCGACGGTGACAGGTTCGACCTCCTCCACTTCACAGACTATGCGGGGAATTCGGCGGTCCATATTGCTACCGTTAGTATCGGTTCCGGGGATGGTGGAGATGTGTTGAAGGAATTGCTCAGCAGAGGAGCGAGTGTGCATGTGAGGAATAATGCGGGCAATAGTCCGTTGTTCCTAGCGAAGAAGGTTGGCAATGAGAGGGCGGTCGGCATGTTGGAGGAGGCGGGCGCGCATTTGCACGTTGAGGAGGTGGAGTGGTTGGGGGTCAAGAGTCCGTTGTATGAGAGATGAGATGGGGGTGCGAGGTGCTGGGAATAGGACGTGAGGTCGTTTGATTTGCATTTTCATTTGTGGTAGGGGTTGGTGATTTCACGGCGTACACATAGATGGCAATAGGTAGGCAAAAGTACTTCATACATCATACCTGCCACCACTCGAGGAAACAGCATGTTGGCTTTCGCTACTTACGATTTTATTTTATTTTTTCGTGCGGCCCTACTTTGGGAAGTCTTCCCCACTTTAACCTACTTTCCGCTCTATAGTTCTACACACCTCATTTTCACCCCTTCCCCGGTTGAATACCCAAACCGGAAGGGTAAAGATCCAATTTGCGAATCCTCAATCGTTCCTAATCTCATTCAAAGAGGGTGGGTGGCAAATGGTAATTAAAGCCATGTCGTTGATCTCGATTTTAGATGTTACATGTTGGCCGCATCTTCCATTGTCTAACTATCGACTTGATTGCATCTCAGTGTTCTTAGAGGATGCTAGACCCTCAAATTTCCTTTCGTTAAATGATTGCTTGTGCCCATCCCCAATTCATGACATCCTATTAAAGATTTATGTTAGATCATCGGTACCAACCTACTTTGGTTCTGTGCTTCACTGCTTCCGAGATCCACGTGGAGATATTTACGCGTCCGCCTCCTTGTAATACGGGTGTGTGTGTAATGCATGGCGATCCAAGTACAAACTTCCCACAAGCTTTCAGTGAAGATTGTAAATTATGGTCTGTGTTCATGTCTTACTATGTGCTTGCTTCGATTCCTGCAGACCATTTCTAATTCAATGCTCATCAAAGTCCAATGATCGGCTAACCTCATCATCTGGGAGCTGACCCCGTGCCCAAGTTCCGATGAGTCGCCCCCATTCGGAAGTTGACGATCTAGAGTCTAGGTAGAATCTGCCACGGATTCAAAGGATTAACAAGTATAAAGAGGCGGTGTCGACCCTTCTTTATCCACCCTCACTCCTCCAATACCTTCATCCAAGCAAACAATTCTTTCCTTTCGCCCTCGTTTCTTGCCCATCAAAACTCGCACGCCTCGTTCAACACCTCCATCAAAACTGAATTAGCTATACCATCCTACCAACATCGGCTCGCAGCTCACCATGCAATTCCCCTCCATCACCGCGGCATTATTCTGCACCGCCTCTCTCGCCCTCGCCAACCCTGTTCCATCCACCGCAGAAGCAGCGACGGATGAACACTACGTGCCAAATCCCTACGAGTAGCCATCCCCCCTCCCATCAAATCCAACCCATGCCCCTGCCAGACTAACTAACAACAACCGCACTTCCCCAGCGTGACCTTCTACAACGAGCCCGCGCCGCTCCACTACCCATACCACGGCACGCCCCTCACGCTCACGATCCCACACCCCGGCGATCGCATCCCGCCATGCGTCCCCGCGCCCGCGCTGCAGGGCTTCCCAGTCGGCTACGCCCGCTGGGGACGCAACCTGGATGGCTGCGCGATCTATCAGGATACCGAGTGCAGAACGAGGGTGTGGGCGGATGGGGATTATCTCCAGCAGGGCCATCTGGGGAGGTTTGTGCGCTGCGGGGTCGTTGGGTATGGAGCCCAGGGATAGAATCGATCTAGCTGCTCCTATTCCTATTCGATGTGCAGCCAGCAGACCTGGCAAGTCCAGTCAGCTGAGGTTTTTGTGGCAGGATGTTCAGTTTGTACTTTGTAGTTATTTTGCTGTTTCGGTGCTTGGATTTTCTCTGGCTTTCTAGGTGGTAATTGTTATTTCAAGGGTACTCTTGTACTGCAGCGCAGCTGGCCTGTGGGGTGGCTGAACTCCCACTGGGAGGTGTAAGCACCGTGAGGAAGGAAAGTCTCATTGCAGGAGTTGATGAGGCCTAGAATTGGCGTAATTTTTTCTTCAACCTATTGCCAACTTCGTACTCTTCCTGCGGATGCAACTTCTAACCTCTAATTTTGAATTAGCCTTTCACTTTAATCGGTTGAAATTGGGTGCTACGCTTCTGATAAACAGCGGCATGTCGAGCTCTCGCCTCAGAGCGGTGGCGTTTCCTGAATCGTTGGAAAAGCCGAGTGGTACACCAAGCTACTTCTTGAGTGTCACAATACACCAGGTTTCGTATAACTCAGTCCCTCTTAGCACTGAAGGTGTATGGAAGCACCTGCAAGTGCTGTACGACTTTCAATTTCGCCTCTCTAGATCTTCAAATTGTGCAACCTAGAGCTTCGGGCTGATATCTTGATCGACTCATCTGCTTCCTGTCAAATAGGTAGGTTCACATACAAAATCTCTCGGCACCAATGGCCCCGCCTGTTTATGAATTGCTTCTATCCAATTCCTTTGCGTTTGGTTATTGTTATTTACTGAGGACTTCTGAAGTTTTATGTTGGTTCGCGACCCGGATCGCATTCCAAAAGGCGCATTATAGAGCTCTGCTTATCTCGGTCTAAACACATTGAAGCTAACGGGGGTTTCCTGATGCAAACTTCTTTTTTTTAACTCATATAACTTCATTTCTAATTCTATATTTGCTTTACTATTTTGTCTTATATTTAGCTTTAAGAGATTTATGATAACAGACAAATTGAGCTTACTATTATACTTAGAGATTATATTTAGCTAATAGTAATAAACAATTCTAGTATAGACTTAGGGCTATATTAGATAATAATAATTTTCTGGTAATTTCCGCACGTGAACAGAATCTCCCCGATCTCCTTTCCTGCTCCTACTGTGAAAATAGAAGCAATACCAATTCTAAACCAGATCTGTTCGGTAGTATCCGATCTTTCCAACAAAAGACCAGATGGGTAGCGCTCAGTAATGTGAAGATAGAGCAGTTGCGCTCCTTCTCTCGGGACATAATTTTTCAAGTCAAGCCGAGCAGACCCGAATTTTACATTCGCCCCATTAGCATCCACTACTTGCAAAGAAAATGGAAAGTAATACTCGACGCTACGCCAGCTTGACGAGCCTGACGAACTTGTGTCTGTTTGTACAATGCGTAATATTGACTTGGTAAAGCCCTCCACTTCTAGGTAGTTGTAAGCCTTGCATTTGGGATGTTGGTTGCCATGTTCTAGGACGTCGAAGGAGTATTGAATCGTAGGCATCTCGATACCGTCATCTAGTTTCTTTCCCAGCCATCGGACATCAGAACCAGCAGAGGCCCAAGACCAGCTTGGAGCTCCGTATGACTCCGGTCGTTGAATTGGTAAAGGTGGCAGAGACTGCCAAAGAAGCTCACGCTTCAAATTTCCCCGCCACATACCGGCGAACGGAATAAAAGTGTCGTCAACGACAAGAGACATTTCAGCGGCGATGCTCTGCATAGCCGGCAGCTTATCAGACTGCTTGGTCAGTTGCCGAAAGGAGTATTCTTCGAGAGTAGCCATCCATTTTTTGTACAGTGCCTCCATGTCTGGGGCCAAGTTGCTCGGACCGGCAGTTTTCGGTTCGTGAAAGATATGGTCGCTCCTTGGCCACAATTCCAATTTGACAACCGCATCATCCCGCTCCCATGCCATAGACACGTTCTCCTCTGTGACCATGCAAGTCCTACACTCGAAACAGATCAAATTCTTGCAGAAGTGGATTAGTCTTGTCGATAAAATGCGTTCCTGCATTGTCCAGCCGCGAGTGTTCCATCTTGAGCAATTTATACCGACTTCTAATTCGGGATTTGGCCCCGTCCGTCCCTGTGCATACTCGTTGGGACATATGATAAGAGACTGACATCCACTGTTGCCAAGGGAATACGAGAGCCTCACCGCAGGAACACTGGCAATGTGTCGTTGAAGAAATCCGTCATGGGACGAGGTAGCGGACGTGCTGTAATCGTACTTAGCGTGGTATTTCACACGTATGACGGTATCCGGTGGTACTCACGCAACAACAGTCACAACTGCATTTCTATATACTTTATGCATTAACTTCGCTTCGTGGGCCCAATCTTCAGGAGAGTCCTGAATGATGCATAGAGAATCGATCCAGATATATCTGACACCCAGACAACGGCAGACAGAGACCGCGTCGGCAAAGTTTTTAGGCAAACTTGAAGGAGCCACACCGTCTTTCATGGTCTCATAGTTGGAACGAATGGTCCTCAACGGAGGGGACACAGTCATATCTCCCCACATATGACTTAGGGCAATGAACATTCTGCTGCCCATGAGTGTATTCGCAGTTTCAATCAGACGGGGCATCTCTGATCCTGATTCGTCATCTGATCCTACGTCCAGAAGACGAGTAGGCACCCAGCTATCAGGAAGAGTATAGCACGCTCTGTGATTTGTCTGGCATTCTTGGATCCATCGTTTCATCAGTTGAACGTTTTCATCAGATAGGGTGCTGAGACTAGGCAACCTTCTCCTGTGCTGCTGCATTGAGGAGTTGAGATCTATCCCGTCGAATAGCCGTGCGTCAGTTCCATCGCTTGAACATCTGTTTGAGTAGGATGTGACACACCTAGTGTGTCAAAGCAGGCAAAGCAAAGTATCATAGAGATGTCGTGTGTCTCCTCATCCGGCCCTTCGGAATCGTGGAGGGTAACTGTCATCGTTATGGCGTAGATCATCCTACCCTGCTGAGCATCAAGTAATGCCGCCTTTCCTTCTTGCTCAAATTGCTCACTAACAAAGTGAACATCGGCAATTCTCACCGGACGATGCCCCTCTAATCCTGCCACATGAGGATTTCCCCAATTTTCCAGTATTGTCTCTCTGAACATGCGGCAGAGCCCGCAACCTGCGGACGCAGAAGCAGCGAGGCCTGGCAAGTCCGGATAGTAGTCTAGCCTCTCGTAATCGAGCCATTGCACTGCCGGGTCGTCCTTATCCCAGCTACTGGCATTGCGATCAGGCACAATGACTTTGCAAAAGCCACACAACTGTTCCGGCGGTTGAGCATATATGTTAGCTAAGGTAAACGGAGGTGGGGTCGAACGCATGCTTTCGTTTCGTGTTTGCATGCTGTTCTTCAATGTATTTGGTGTGATGCTTTTTGGAAAATACACAAGTCTAGTTTGTTACGTGGTGGTCCTGCTGCTGCAGCACATGTAAGAATCACAGTTTTTGACGCTAAATTTACCGAACGCACCCGCCTAAATATAGTGAGCCTGAGCGATTAATGCCTAATATCAGCAACAAGACTTGCAAACCTACTTTAATTGAGGCTATTTAGAACCCAATTCACCAATTCACATGAAATAACTAGAAAGAAAACTGCTGATAAGGAGCTCCCCCCAAGTACCAGGCGTGCTCCTATATCAAAAATGAGTTTTGTGACGAAGCAGTCACGTGTCTCCACCAATCACCTGATCTAGGTTGAATGGAGAGTTTGTTGAAATTAGGGGCCTGAGGCCCCTAATAGGCTTAGTAAGCCCTGGAACCGAACGCCATGGGGCTGTGCACTAGCTTAATACCCTGTCCAGCTGGAATACCCTGTATAGCTGGAATACCATATACGGCTGGAATACCCTGTATAGCTGGAATACTACGTACGGCTGGAATACCCTATATAGCTGTAATCGGTTCAGCTGGCATAGGGATTTAGTACATGTGACTTAGGGGGTTCAGGGCTATATATACGGGCTACTTACCACTGTAGAACAGCAGTCAATTCAGTACGTTTTACTTGGTTTACATTGCAAGCACGTGACCCTAGCTATATTGCTTTAGCTAGTTCAACAGAGTTCACACATTCTCGTACACAACAATAGCATACTTACTTGGCTATAGAATAGGAAGGCCTAATTACTTTTCTCTCGTTATCTAATGTTCAGATTTAAAGGCCAAGTGTAAAAAGCAAGAACGCGAATTTGCACGTTTTACTCGCATTTTTTACTCTGATGTGAAAAGTCAACAAGAGTGGTATTTCCGACAAACTAAGAACGAACACTACGATTTAAAGTCAAATTCCCCAGTCATCCATTAATTAGGCTACCAATCTTGCTACTTCCGCCGTCATTCTCCCGTCTCGCACACCAAATTATCCTGCAGAATTGAAAAGGTGTCCCCCATCTTTACTCATCATACTCCAATGTCAACGTCGTAGGGAAGGGGCTTTCTCGAGAATTGGGATCCAAATACTTCCTCATCTTCACCCCTGCCAACTCTTCCTCGACCACTGCCAAGCGTCCCTGTCGACCCGGTGCCCCCCTCACATTTTTCAACTTGAATACTTCCTTCAGGATCGCTGCTAGACTACATCCCACTATTCTCGAGCCGAGGCAATAATGCATCCCGTAGCCGAAAAAGATGTGATCTTTCAGCGGGCGGTGAGGATTCAGCTTCTCGGGATTAGGGTACTGAGTCGGATCCATGGCTGCCTTGGAAGTGGCGAGGAGAATGGTTTGGTTGGCTTTGATGTGAATAGGTCCTCGTACTCCGTCCTGGACAGTGAAATCTCTGGCTGCCACTCGCGGAAGCCCTGGTACCATATTTGTGTGGCGCATACCTTCGAACACGAAACCTTGGAGTTCGCGATCAGCAGCTTCGGTGTCAAGATGTGCGAGTTCGATAATGCGAGCCTTGTACTCCTCGTATCCTTTACTGAGATACAAATCAATAAGCAGTGAAGCCTGCTGAGTGATATTTGCAGCGACAGGAGGACCCAAACCAACACAATCACCAACCAAATCGCCGATGGGGAGTTTGGTGGCATTTAGAGCATGATACAGACGATCTGCTTCAGGTCCAACCTCGAAAGCCGAGCCTTTAGCGAGCCAGTCGACAAGCTTCTCGGTGACTCCTGCTTGCGTTTTCAGGTGCGCTTCGTGAATCCCACGCAAGATAGGAGCAGCTTTCATAGCGCCTTCGCGGAGCACCCATTCATTTGCCGGAATGATATTAAAGGCTTGGTACATGAAGATTACGAGGTAGATCATGTGGAGTTCGGGGATAGTCACCAACCCATGCGGACGTTCAGCGGTTTTCAATGGAATAGCGAATCGCTCAGCTAGCCAGAGGATAGGGACGACGTTCGCAACGTCTCGGACTATGTCAATAGAGCGGCGGGTACCATTGGAGTATTTCAGGGAATGGGATTTGATGAGCTTGGCCGCATTAATACGGAAAAAGCTTGCCACTTTTGATTCGAATCCTTCTTCGAAGAAGACTTTGTGGAGAATTTCAGACCGTGGGTCATGACGTTTGGCATCGTCCCAGCCGAGCAGGAAATCGTGACCATCAGTGACATTGCGGATTGCAGCTTGGTACATCACGCGGAAGTTTTCGCGGTCTCCAAAAACTGATTTGCATCCTGCGTATGTGTGGATACCGATTATATCTTTCCCACTGGCCGGTCTTTCGATATCGTACAGGTGAAGGACCTTGTTTTGCGAGAGGATCCCCTTGGCTGCCTTTGGTGTGTAGAATGGGAGCAGTGCATAGGAGGAAGTGCCTGTCCAACCACCTGGGAGACCGTTGAAGAAAAGATGAGGCAGCATGCCACCATAGGCCCCTGGTGGAAGAGTACCGAGTTTGGCGAAACCCCAATGAGTCAAAGTCGAGCTATTGAAGTCGTAGCTCAGGAATCGATCTCCACGGACGAGAGCGACGGCATCATCGAGAATTCCACGTCCAGTAGTTTGGCCGGTGCAAACGCCACTGCCAGGCATAGCCTTTTTAGTAACTTCTGCCATGAGGCCGGGATATAATTCCAGGTTGTCAATATGACCATAAAGCAGCTCTGCAGCTCTGGCTGTTTCTTTGTCTGGGTTCCAATCTTCGAAGTCCTTATAGGGTTGCAAGTTCAAATATTGGCGGAACCTGGGAGGAGAGCACGAATTAGATAGCTTCGAACCAGAATTAAAGATATATCACTTACTCATTGATGGTGCAGACATTAAAAAGCTCTCTCGCTTGCAATTGGCCCATGATATCGACAATCTTCATACTTGCAGGGCTGCTATGGGCTCCAAAAGCATGGCCAGGTTCTTCAATGCAATCTTTGAGAATTTCAGCAAGATCAACATCGCTGAACCTCCCATCTGGTCCTCTCTTAAGACCCCCGAATGTCCATTCTTTTGGTGTGGTGCCCATGAGCTTATGCCCATAGTCCATCATGACCTTCTTAAACTGGTCGATTGTCAAATCGTCCAGGGACTTAAGATCGGGTAGGCTCTCTCTAATTACATACTCCATCCACTGCAAAATTTCGAGGTTAGTTTACTTTATTCAGAAATCAAAGTATACTCCGCAAAATTCGGAAGGAAAAGGGAAGAAACCCGAGAATAACAGGAGGTAGAACAGCGTGAGAAAAGGTACAACAGTAAGGGAAATTTTCAATATTACAGAATTAACAGCAAGGGAAGACAAAACCCTGAGGTAGTCGTACCTTATCATCAGCAGCGCTGAGGGATGCATGCCAGTGATAGAGCACAGCAAATTCAACAGAGACAACGTTTCCTGTACCTCGCTCGATTCGCTTCCCAAGCTGTTTGATTTCTTTGCCAAGATTAAGATTCCAGGTTGAATTAGCTCGTTGAGTATTAAGAATTGCCGAAACGTAGTCTTTCAGAACAACCGAAGCAAAGAATCCAACATTGATATTGCGGGTAATTTGGAAAATATCTTCGTCTTGCCTAATTTGAATGTCAGAACAAAATCCTCATGCATCTAGCACTAGTGACCCTCATAGTGTACGGCGTACGCCCAAAGGAAATGCTACTGCGCTTTACAAGGATGTACCGCACTCAAGAAATTTAATAATGGGAAGGCATCTCTCCTCTCAAGCAGGGGGGTCACTTGGATTCGGACAGCTACTAGCAGAGAATCACATACCACTTCTGTTCCTTCTCACTCAACTTTTCCCATTGCCTGTACTTCCCCTGCTCGTTAACCAACAATAGATTCTTGGCAATGGTATTATGGTTTCTTGAGAACATGAGCAATACGCAAACCACACCAGGAGGCATCATTAGAATTCTCTCCGAAGCAATCGAATCAGGGAAAATTGTTCCATCCTTGTAAGTTCTCACTCGCTGCTGCTCATTATCTGTGTTTCCGTAGAGAGTACTCAGGTCCACATAACTAGATGTCTCGTTAATCCAAGGATCGGTTCGGGAAGTTTGGAAGATTTCATGAATGACTATAGTAGCGAAGGAGAAGAATAGTCGATTTAGGCCAGAGGGGTGTTCGCGGAAGGGTCCAGTGCGTTTCAGAAGCTGGTCGAAAACAAGTTCCGGATCTGGGAGGCTGGGTCCTTTTGGCGTCGATGAGGGGACATTACGACAATACGGAGTGCCAGCTTTGCCCATCTCTGGGATCCAAGGATTATTGTTACCGCCGTCGTGGCGTCTGTATCTTGCTGCCGGGCCAGCCATTGTGGGTGGCGGATGAGGGAGATCATGCCACAGCATGCCAATGAAATCATTAGACACCGTCTCGCCCAGCCCACTGTTTGCTGGAAGGGTTTGTAGCATGGCAACTCCATGTTCCAGCAAATCCTCCTTGTCATTCAAGGGCTTCCCAGAAGAAAGAGTTTTGAGAGCCTGCAAAAGTGTTTCGGCCTCCTTGGTATTCATATGGGCGAGATCATGAAGGAGTGAGGTCTTCTCCGTTGAAGCAACTCCGGTTGCTTCCACGTCTGTCTTGCCATCGGGAGCTCGACTTGGTTTTCGCTTGATGGTTCCGAACAGCGTTCTAAGTTGACCTGGTGCCATTATGGGGGTTCACTAGCTGGTGTTAGAATGCACAGTAGTTTATGGAATTTGGAACAGATGGGTACCTTGCAAGTCAATTGAATGTACCACAAGTTATAAAACTTGTCGATATTGTGGTTGGGCGAACCGCAAACTCTGATAAGCTCTGGAAGTATAGGCGTGACGTAACTGGAGAGGCGAGGTGAGAGATGCGAAGGTTCGTTTCAGAGTCTTGAGATGAAATTTAAAAGGTCAAGGGAAGGGGCGAGCTTGAGGAGCAAGTGATTTGGGGACGAGAGCTATCTGATGCGAGCTGTCACGGGAGCTTCACAGCTCCCCTTGTCTTCCACTAACCAGCTGATTGATGAGTGGTGATCTCGTCAGTGCAATTGATGCTGCATTGCAGTAGTGGTGTCTGGCTAGAAAAGCAAATACGGTGGGTCGAGTTCGGTTGGCCGTCACGTCGCTCTTTGGCTGCTGGTCGCAATTGGCTGGCGGCCTCAAATGGTTGGCGGTTGTCTCACTGTCTTGACAGGTCACGAAATCAGCTCCAGATGAATTCGGAGCCCCTTCGGCTCCACGCCAGCCCCCTTCCTTCCCCCAAGCGTTCATCCCTGGTGCAGATCTTGACCTAAAAACCTTAAAACTAAAGTTACTAGCTGACTGCCCCCAACGCGACCCCAGACCGAAAGAGATTTGATTGACAGTCAGAAGACATTGATGAGCTGGCTGAATGGAATAGGTTTCACCCAAAGAGCAACTTGCAAATCCTTCAGATGCGCTTTCGACAGGCAGGCCCCGCTCTTTCATATCGCCAACGCACGCAAGATCTGCAGTGCTACATACTCTCAATGTCCAATGGCTGCTGCTCTCTGGAACGCCACTGATTCATTGCAGCTGCTGAAATTGATTGTCGCCTGCTTACAGGGATTCTATCGGCGAATTAGCTAGAATCGCTGGGTGGTCTGAGCACTCACCTGTCTTGATCCCAGCCTTTTTTGCTAAATACAGTTAAATATTGGTTAACATTTAAAGCACCGTGCATGTTGTAGCCCGCCCTTGTGACTATCCGGGCCCGGGTCGTGACGCCCCGGCATGCATGCATGACACGGATGGTGGCACTTGTGCATACTCCCCCCCCCGGGCTAAAGGTTATTTGGTGGGCCGAGCAAGAACGGTGTGTAGGTATTGGTAGAATTCCTTGTCTGTGGCGCTGCACAGAGCAAAATATGGTCTGTGTATCAAATCTAGGGTCGCTATAGAAGGTTCAAGAAGACTTTGGGCAGTGGAGCCTCTGAATTCCAGCGTTTTCTATTCGATAAATCCCTTGTCAGATACCCTGGAAAACGTCTCAAATAACCTTTGGCCCGGGGGGATAGTAGCAAGAAAGGCCCGAGTGAGCTTAGCCACAGTAACTGGAGGGAAATCTCTGGCCGGGCAAGTCAATTGGCGACGAAGCACCAAAAACTTCCGAGGAGCAAGCTAGCTTCGCGCCGTCTGATGGTCTGAAAGAACCTTACTTCATGTTTCTCATATTGGCCCGACAACTCCACTCCCTAGGCAGGCGTCGCCCAAGGTCCTTCATTCTCGCCTTACACCGACTGATTGTCTAGGAAACACCACGACCTTTTCAATTTGGAGGGATAACTCCTCCGCTATATCAGAATGAACGGCGAAGTCCCATGGCGGCCGAAGCATTACCCCGCACAATCTTTTACAGAGCAACCACCACCCAGAACTTTGCCAAATGAAGAGCCACCCCAGCTGCCAATGGCGATTCGAGCAGTCCCAGACTCTAAATCTCCTGCGACTGGTCGGACTCTGGTTGTATGCCTTGATGGAACTGGCGATAAATTTGACAGCGATAATAGCAACGTCGTCAACTTTGTGGCTTGCCTGAAGAAAGACGATCCAACTCAAGTCACATACTACCAATCTGGTATTGGCACTTATAATGGCCGTGGAGGGTTAAGCAAAGGATTTTCAGCCGCCGTTGACATGGCGGTAAGTGTCATCTATCCCAATTTCAAAGGCCCGCCAACTGAGGGGATTCCAACTTTCTGGCGAAGCAATTCTAACTTGAGGTCTTGCAGATTGGCAGTGGCCTCGGAATTCACATCAAAGATGCCTACCAATTCATCATGCAGAACTACATTGAAGGAGACAGAATATGTCTTCTGGGATTCTCTCGTGGTGCATACACCGTTCGCTGTCTTGCAGGCATGCTTCACAAAGTTGGGCTCTTGCCTGCTTACAACACAGCACAAGTCAATTTCGCCTATCAATTTTACAAGAACGACACTTCAGAAGGGTGGGAAATGAGCGAGCAGTTCAAGAGAACATTTTGTCAGGACGTTACTGTTTACTTTGTTGGAATTTGGGATTGCGTGGCCAGTGTAAGTGCCTTTAACCTCACCCCGTTCAATCATTTCGCGGTTCGAACACAGGAAGGTTCGAAAAAGCTAACTCCAAAACTCACAGGTCGGATTCATTCCTCGTCAACTACCCTTCAGCAAGTCCCCTACCAACGCAGTCAGCTATTTTCGCCACGCCATGGCCCTTGACGAACGCCGAGCGAAATTCAAAGTCTGCCACTGGCAAAAAAGCAACGAAGTTCCTCTCGAAACCCTCTATCCCGCCAAGACTGACGCGGGACTTCTCCTCAACCCGACAACAGCTGCCTCTGAGCTCACAAGCAAAATAATACAACATAAAGACCTTGAGCAATCAAAACACGAATCGGAGTTCGATAAATCGGACCCCCATTCCTCGAATGTGAAGACAGATGTTCGAGAGGTCTGGTTTGCTGGCTGTCATGCAGACGTAGGCGGCGGTGCTGTGAAGAATTGGGAGAGGCATATGCTATCGCGGATCCCGCTGCGTTGGATGCTGAGGCAGTGCTTTGAGTGCAAGACCGGAATAATATTTTCCACGGCGGCATTAGCAGAAGTGGGCCTGGATGTGCGAACCTTATGGCCGGTGTATCAAAAGCCAGAAAAGCCAATCGTTGGCCCAAGCCCGCGCACGATGGAACATTACGAGGCGGGCGGCCTCCCCCCACTGCGTCGCCGATCTACAGCGCTTGGTATTGATCCAGATATGAAAGATCCCCTTATCGGCGACAAAAAGTTATCTCCCGAGGCACTAAATCTTGATCTACTGCCTGAGCAAGCGGAAGACCATTTTGATGCAATGTGTCATATCAACGACATGCTCGTCATCAAGCGCCCATGGTGGATCCTCGAGGTCTGGCCTGTGTCGTTCCAGATACTGAAGAAAGATAGCAAGGGAAGAGAGAGATGGGAAAAATTTGTAGGGATGAATCTAGGGAGGTGGAGAGCGATCAAAGATCCGGAGCCGAAGATGCATTGGACTGTTGAGAGGAGAATAGCGGAGAAGGGGTATAAAATTAGGAACTCGACGGGTGGAGAGGCGGTTTGGAAGGTGGAAGCTTAGCTGGTAGTGTGATGAATTTGGAGCTCTTTCAATGGATATGGAGTTCAATTTGAGTGTACATTGTGTGATTTACCCGCTCCCTGCCATTTCATTCCGTATGATAGTCATCTTAATTTACTCACGTCTTCTCTCATACATTTCCTACATAAGTCTTCTCCAACTATGCGAAATAACCAATACTAAACTTCATTGGCAAGTACTCTAAGTTCAGCCTCAAAAGAAAACCGTAACTCATAATTTCAGAATCCACCAATAACGCAAAATGATAGAGGCACCGAACAAGTCCCTTTCTCATTATTCAAACTCGTAACAAACCCACATTCTCTATTGCAGATTAGCTAGATTTGCACTCTAGCTTCTCAAAATCCCTCCCTGTTCCTATAGGTCCTCAAAAGAGAAAAACGAGGGCTTCACATACTAACAGGACGATCAAACTCCACAGACGAATGGTCGAGATTCCCTTCACCATCTGAAAGGGCGCCACTGGGGCTGTAATAGGATCCTGTGGTACCGGAACGCTGGATTCCTTGGTCAGGGTCCCCGTTCTGCAATAAACACCATTGCCTCTAACACCTATTGCTTTATATATCTCAGTCTTGATTCAATTTCTGGATTGACTAAGAAGCAGATAGTAGACAGACAGCATGGGATTTGTATTCCAGCTGGAAGAGCAGACTAAGATTGGAGAACATGCTGGTGTCCAATTAAGCTATTCTCCCGACCGATTTAGGATAGTCATCTCGCGCTGCACCACGTGAGATGACCTGCGGAATCCTTCTGGTGTTAAGATGCGGCGCAGGAGTCCTCCGTTTCGCTTGCGAGAGCGGGGCAGAAAAGGGGACGGGGACAGGGGCGGCGGGCGGGGTGGGGCAGCCGAGTTCAAGCACGAGAGGAAATTACAGGACGGCAACAACTCGGAAGACTGACCTGAATGCAGCAACGGGTGCTTTCCACAGTCAAGGCCCCTCGAATCCGAGACCTTCAAAGGGATAACATTCTGCTGGTTGAGGTGTTTTCTCTACCAAACAGCTTCTGATTGGACCTCCAAATCCAGGTTTGAGAAGAAGGGCCTGAAAGTGAACTTGCGGTACAAATGCCCCTAAACTCAGGGTTAATTTTCCCTTTCGCTGGTTCCGTTTTAATCTACAGACGTGAGCAACTGCTGCTTTAACCTGAGCTAAGGGTGAGCATACCTGAGCCGAGGGTAAGCATACCAGAGCAGAGCCTGAGCAGAGCCGGAGTACGCCCTGAGTGTGACGTCGCTGGCTAGGGTCACATGGGGTTAGCTATTACCTGACTGGCTTCACTTGTCAAGCTGGCGTTTCAGTCGTTTTAGCTAATACTTCTTCTCCTTTCTTCTCTCTCTCTCTCTTCTTCTCTTTAGCTTTGTATTCTACAAGACAGGGAATAGAGATCTTTGAGCCTTAACCATTGCTCTAGCCCCGCCGCTATACTAAGTCAGCCCTAAGTTAGTATACGTATTATAATGTGAAATCCTTTAGCCTCTAGTATACTTGTAGCCCCAGTAATAGTTTCCTTACTAAATTTTGCCTGAGAATCCACTTCTACTCCCTTATAACGTTCTTATTTGTGAGGTGTTTGTTGGTAGGCAATAAGACAATAGAATGAATCAGTGTGTTGTGAAACCACAGTGTTAAATTCAGTACAGAACTAATCTCTGTCCCTCCTGTGAGGTCCAGGGAAGCCCCCTCTAAATAGGAGGCCCCGATGGCATATATATAATTAGTAATTTATAAGCCTAATACATATGATATAAATAGTAGTTAGTTGGGATATCAAAGGGCTGCCGAACTCCCTAATCAATACCCGCGATATCCGAGGTTCGTCACATGCCCTTAAGTCACGTGCGACCCTGCACATATCACAACTATACCCCCCTCCTAGGATCTTGTCCCCAAGATCCATTAATCCATCCTGGTAAACATTTAATCAATTATTTATTCAATTGATATAAACTTCTAGTATCTTGGGAGGTAGTTTTGCTAATGCGATCTGGATAATAGACGTAAAAATCGTCTAATTAGATCGGGGCTAAGTAAGCGAGAAGGAAGGGTAATTATACCCCAGGTATAGGGGCTAGCCGGTAATTGTGATTTCGTTTGGGATCTGAGTATTCTAATTAGCTCGATCCAAAGTGCTAAGGCGCTACCCCACGAAATTAATACTACCTGTTAGATCTCGTATTAGAATAATCTAAATAGCTATATAGAAAGTATTTAATAAATATTCGTATAAGAAACTCATACGAATATTTCTAAGGTCCTGAAGATTATTTACAGGCTCCTGGGAATATGTATTAATTAGTTACGCTAGTTTCCGATTAGGACTAGTACGAAAACTAGTAGTTAATCCAGGTAATTCTCTACCTCTATAAAAGGACCTCTTTATATTACTATATGCTCTCTTCCTTTCTAATAACCATATATATAACTTTTTCTATTATTGCCTTCTAGCCTCTTCTTCTGCCCTTCTCTAAGTCTTCTTTAATTATTTTTAATTAATTCTATAATATCTTCTTCTGGCTTTGTTATCCGTTCCCGTAATAATAAGTATAAAGGTAACCTTATAGCCTCCTTTCCTATTACTAGTAGATACTTGAAATATTTCAAGTATTTACTTATTAATCCCTTTATCTTATATGCCATAGTACCTGGCAAGAAGAATTATAACTATTATAATAAGAGTTCTGAGTCTTATATATTAGTAAGTTCTTTAGCTTTAATATCTATTAAAGCTAATATGATTTCAGATTTCTTACTACTTATTAGAGGCTTGCCGGTTCTGGGAAAATACTATTATAACCTTTAAGAAATTTCTTAAAGCATATTCTAAATAATATTATACTAATAAGGATAATACTATTAATTAGGTTTTCGAAGACTAGAAGAATACTAATAAGCTTCGGAATTCTTCTTCCCGTCTTAATAAGACAAATAATAATACTACTTAGGTTAGTATCCCAAAAGTAAGTTTTTTCTAATATACTTAGGTATTTACTAATTCCTTAAAGAAATACTATAATATTTACCTTTAAGGCATTAACCTTATTACCGAGCTTACTACCGAGATTATTAAGTAATCTACTACTAGTATTTTAAATACTAATAATATAATACTTATGGCTATTTAGGACCTGACTTTAGAAGTTCGGGCCTTTTATAAGGTATATATAGTAGTTATAAGTTCCTTACTTACTTCTTTTAATATTCTTAATACTAATATTATTATAGTATAATTATATCCCGTTAAGAGATAAGCGAATTCCGGAAAGTATTAGCTAATTCTTTACTAAGTCCTAAATAAGGCCGGTATTTGGTATTCTTGCTTTAGGAATTAGGAATTTATAGGAATTAGAGTTTATTTATTTAAGATATCTATAGCTAATTTACCTATAATAAATCTTTCTTAATCCTAAACCCTTTTTCTAATAATTTAAATATAATTCTTATAAGCCTTAATAAAATCCTAGAAAACCTTTATAAATAAAAAACCCAGGGAAAAAGTATCTCTATTACTATTCCGGGCCTTTTCTTAGCTATCTAGGTTCTTTTTTTCTTTTAAATAGCCTTTTTCTTAGTAATCTAGAATTCTTTTTAATCTTAAGAAATTATTAAAAGGTAGTTTCGGATTCTAAGCCATAATTTTAGTTATATGATTTTAGAAGTTCTTTAGAATTTTCAAGATTAGGGAAAGTAGGTAACCAGGTATTATAATCTTTAGGCCAGGCTTTCTATTTAATTAAATACTATTACTTCTTACTTCTATTATCTTATTAGTAATTAATAATAGCTTCTACTTCCTATTTTTATTCTTTATTATTATTTACTAATTCCGGAAATTCTCTAGAGAAATATAGATATAGCTTCTGACCCTTTTTTACTATATATTCTTTAAAGAAGGAAATATAAAAAGTTAGATATAAATAATTATATATACTTAGTAATTCTAACTTATATACTAAATTACTAATATATTTAAGGATCCTAAATAGACCTATAAATTTTGGCTCAAGCTTTCCTGCCTTAAGTTTAATATTCCTTATTAATAGTATTATTTAGGCTTCTTTAGAATAGTATTTAACTAACCGGTACCTATTATAATAGGTTTCCCGGTTATTTTATATATAATATCATAAATCCTTAAGCTTTCTTTACTCTACTTTAAGGATTTCTAGCCTCCTATATATAGCTAGTACCTCTCTTATAATCCTGTCCTCAGGATTCTATAGAAATTAAGGGTAGTATTTATAATATATATAAAAAGATATATTCTATAAAACCTAATATTTTGAATTATTATATATAAATTCCATAAAAGATAACTTCTTAAACTAGTTATTTTTTTAGGTATTATAATAATATCTCAGGTAGTATTCCAGGGCCTAGTTCTGCCTTTCTATCTAACTATTTATCTAAGAATAGTAAGCTATACTCAAATACTATTTGTATATTAAGTAAAAGTAGAAAGCGGACTAGAACTAGCTAGTAAATACTATTTCTTAGTTAGAAACAATTCTATTAGGGAAGCTAAAAATTAAGAAAACATATTCCTATATAATCTTAGTAAGCTCTAGAGAATTAATAGTCTTATAGCATATAATATATCTTGCTATTTTAGAGTACTAGTTAATAATTATAAGAATTATATTAAAATCGGGACCTCCTACCGGGTTCTTATATAATAGTAGATCTATAATAAAATCTATAGAGATTTTATTCCAGAGTCTCTCAGGCTATAGTAAACTACTAAGTAAACTATATAGCAAATGCCTCTTTACCTTAACTCTCTAGTAAATATTATATTCTTAATAATAATTATAAATATCTCTTTCTATATTCTCCTAATACCAGGATTTTCTAAGAAGCTCAAGAGTCTTTTTTACTCTATAGTATCTAGCTATTAGGTTATTATAATAAAGCTTTATAACTTCTTAATATAAAGCGGGATTATTAGATATAATAATTCTTGAATAATACCTA